TATTACTTATAACCTTCATAAGCCCTTATGCTTAACTTATATACACATATATATCGTTCGATTAGTGTTAAAAAAACTATCCAGAAAATCCAAGAAAAAACTTTTATTTCAAATCATTTATCGTATTTGAACAGATTGTTTGGCCGGCCTACTTCTTTCCTTCGTATTGCCTAAAACTAGCTGTAAAAATTGATTTTGTTTCAGCTGATAACACAGACTTGGATATAAGTGAAGAAATGGAGGAGATCCGGGAGCTGCTCTATGAACTCATCAAAACAAACTTCTCGTCCGGTGTGATGGTGGAACATTTAGCGAAAATTTACAAAGAAAGGTTCTTTTTTTCTCGACAATTGCTTTGTGTTTGCTGAAATGTGTATAAAAATTTTGAAAATTTGCTCAGTAATTTGAGCTAACTAGATTAATTTGTTTTTTTTTTTTGAATGATATTTTGACCATTTTGTACAATTAATTTTATTATTCTATGAGAACCGTCAAAAAATAACCAAATAATGGTGCTTCAGGGCAAAGTTTAAAAAAAAAAACATAGTTCTTAAAATTGAAATAATTGTGCTTGATCATTTGATCAGTTGTTTTTCCGTGGTCTCTTTTCCTCCCATCATTGATGTAGCTGGTAGTTGCGTCGTTCTTCTCTGGTTTGGGCATCCTTCGTCCACGCAATTTCGCATTGACCTTCTGGAGGTCCTTCCAAGTACTGGCGGCGGCTTCGTGCCTGTCCTTTTTCTCGTCTGGTTTTTTGTAGGAGAGTTTTTCTGCCATTTACTGCGTAAATTTCGTCACTGGTATTTCATGTGTCACTCCGTTGCCACTTCCACATTACTCAGACGCATGATTCATCACCGAATGAATAATGATTGCCGTCTTTGCTTTCCATCGTTGTGAGAGATCTGCTGCCGCAAGCTTCTTTCGATGCTTTCTTTAGTACTCTCTGTTGCGAGAACATTTTTGCAGCTATGAGACACGCGGCCTGGGGCCACCTCTTCCGAGCAATTGGCTGGACCATGTGAGAGTTGCTGAGGAATTTGAAGTGGTGATTCGTGGCCCGATTGTGATGGTTTACACGAGGCAGCGCGAAGCACCTCCACCGATCATCGAGCCGCCGCGCAGTTCTTTGAGTAAGTTGTTGTTATTACGCGTGCAGCAACTTGTCCACAACTTTGAATTTGAGAACCGCAAAAGCTAAAAAGCTGAACTTTTAGGGGAACCTTCCCCACCCACATTTGACCCAGCAAATTTAAATTCAGCTTCCCCGTACTCGCGGGTAACACGTACGACCCCATAAAAGTTTTGACGGGAAAAATTATCTCGGGAAGCACGGAATCTAAGAAGTTGAAATTTTAGCGTGGCATCCTCTGCCCACGTTCAACTCCGCAAATTTTTAACATCCGCGTGGGAGTTTTGGCGAAAAGAATCATCTCGGGAGTCAGAAGTGCTAGGAGACTGAAAATTTCAGGAGGGGAGCTTCACAAACTCGAATTCAGCTCCTAAGTATGTCGAAGTCTCACTAATGACCACGTGGAAGTTTTGTGTCAAAGATCATTCGAGATCCAAAAAATTAGGAGATTGAAATTTTGGGAGGATATTCATCCCTCGAGGATTCACGTGGCGATCCGCAAAATTTTTAACTATTTTTAGCTATGTTTCAACTATTTTTACACAGACTAAAGTACAAGGCAGTGAAAATCATTAACGGGCATTCGTTCGCTGGACGAAATTGCACAAAACGTTTGATCGCACCGACTGTTCTGATGTGCGCTGCTATTTATTTTAAGCTTTGTGTCGATGTTATCTGTCGAATTCTGACCCTCCTTTTGCGCTAGAGCCCATGGTCCTGAACACTGGATTTAATGAAGTATAGCATGTTCTAGCTGAGACGCTTAGGATTAGTGTCTGGATGATCAACTAGTGCTAGAATACGCATTGTTTTCCGCTGCTAAATGTAGAAGGGCCTCTTAGTTTGGGATTAGGGAAGAATCGATCGCAGCGTGAAAGTTTTAGAAAATAGTATCTTCAGGCTGTGTAGTTGCAAAATTTTGGCGAGCTGTGATTTGACCCTCAACGGGATCATTTTCATATGAACGAATTCGTAAAAAAAATGCTTTTTATCACTTTTCTTATATATCTCATGAAAAAAGAAAAAATAACATCATACTTTCTTCACTGTTTCGCTTCCTTATCAAAAAAGTCAGCGGTTTTCTCGCTGTTCGCCAGAGAGCAGTTTAGTCTGCTGGTATTTCTGACATACATATTCCGATAAATTAAACTAGGCATATTTTATTTAAGTTGTGGTGTCAATGTTACTTTTTTTTTCATTCCATGCTCGCTTCGAACAAGTTTTGCTAGCCGCGCAACAATAAAGCTATAGCTAATTAAAACATCACGACATATTGACCCCGTTTCGTCCTTTATTGATTTTACCATTGAAGCGTGTGATGACTGTTCTTGAACGGCTTTGGCAGTTACATGAAGTCAAATGACAAGGACCATAAAATGAAAGATGGAGAAGTTGCCAGCTGCATGAACGGCAAGAAGAAACACGACGATGAAACAGATGTGATCAAAGTATCGGAGCAGTGTTCAGCTGTTCAAGAAAGGAGTTTTACAGATATCGCTAAAAATCTGCCATCGCCACAGGCAAAGGAAACGGCGCGTATAAGGCTTACTGATCGAGAACTTGCGCAACAGGTAATGTATGATGAAAATAGATCGCATTATTAAATAGAATTGAATTAATGAGGAAAATTTCAAATTCACAGAATAACGCGACAAGTTGCTACGGAAAGTCTTCTGTCTCCTTTTTTGGTAGTATTGAGGAGAACAGAGTTCAGATTACCATCACCCGCTTTTCATTTTCAAGCTATTCTTCTTTTAATTTGGAGTAGGCCAAAATTTTGTATAATGGGGGAAAAGAAGATCATATGCCCGGAGAGGAACGGATAGAAAATTTCCATTTTTTCTCAAACAGCGATATTCTTGAGCGTTTCTTTCCACTGTGCTTCTGTGATGGTGCCTTTATCAGCAGCAATAAGTGGGCAACTTTGACTCTTTGCCTCCTATTTGGAAAGCAGGCATACTGCCTGTGGTAATGTCGTATTACTTTTAAAAAGAGTGATGAAATCACGGAGTTGTCTTTGAACATTTGTGGACTAGTGACTATGCAAGTAGCTTCATTTCACATATAAAAGCATGCATTTTGGGTTTCATTGCATTTTCTCTCGCATTTTCTGTCAAATTGCTCTGTTCTGATATTTTCAGATGAAATCGGTGCTCTCGTTTGAGCCGATTGTTTGTCCATCAACAGTTAGCGTTGTTGTGATGAAATGTGATGAGAACTCGTCCGATATCTTTATACAGCTGGCTGGCACGCGAAACAACTTCGAGCTGCTACGATCCGCAATGGATTCTCACTACGAGGAGCAGTCTCTCGGGGAACCAGTAGCTGAACCTGAAATTGGTGGTGTGTATGCCGTGAGAGACGCAGACGGGCACTGGTACAGAGCACTGCTTAAAGTAGGTTTTTATTGTATAATGCCCTAGATCTGCTGGATTTTCGAAATGAAGCCCTTGACGGCAAGCCCGAATCTGCCCTACTATTCTAGTTCACCCCTCTGGATGTGCGAAGACGATGGCTTTGTTTCATTCGAAATTTTCCTCCTTGTGATTGCAGATTCATCATTGTTCGTTGATTTTAACTCATTCAGTTCACTTTTTGAAATAACCTCCCTCTTAATGAAACGAATTCCGTCTTAACTTATTTTTGACTCCGTTTATAAGAGCAGTTGCACTGGGCAGATCGAGCTTAGGAGTTTTATTCTGTTTTACGAAGGTGCAGATCAGGGTAGTGAGGATTTACGAAAATGCCGACGTCTGTCAAAAACTACCACTTGTCTTCGATTTCTCTGTACTCAGTTCTTATGTTTTCCACTAAATTCCCTGCTGATTTTAGCGGCATAGGCATCAGAATAATTAGCCTTGCTTAAATTATCAAAAATTTGTGCTTCCTCTCATATCCACGATTTGTATTGTTGTGGCTTTGAATAGGTTGCAGAAAGTTTCATACTACTGGATAACGGTCGAGTGGTGCCGGTGAAGGATGCAACAGTGCGACGTCTGCGAGCCGAATACGCACTTCCACGGATCTATCCCATCTATGCCTTCATTGTTACGTTGGATAAAAACCACGACAATGCC